TGAGGCCAACACTGCTGATATCTTTACCAAGGTACTTCCACCTTGTGATCATCAGCGCTTCTGTACGATGCTAGGTCTTGTGCCTACTTGGCCTCACTTGCTCACTTCTTGACCTTGCTTGTACTGTGATCTTTCTATACCTGCACTTTCTTGTTTACCTTTATATATGATCTTGCATGTGAACTGGCCTTGTGGCCTTGCTCTTGTGCTCGGACTGTGTGGTGACATTGTGATCCACCCTGAGCTTGCTTTGCTTTGCTTGACTGGTCTTGTGACCTCTTGTTCTCCCCCACTTTGCCTATGGGCGTGTGTCAAACTCTTATGCTATAGTCTGTGTAGGCTGTAGTGGGGTAGACAATATGGGGTACAACACTTCAAGGTTTTCCTACTTGTACCCACCTGCTTGCTAGTTCATTCATTCCTCATTTCTTCATACACTGATCACATGAGTGACATACGACGCCACCGAGTAGTCGACGCCGGCCATCCGCAGGTCAGCCAAGACTCGCCGCGCTCGATTGTAGTACTCGGTCGCAGATTCCTGCTCCCCCATTCGAATGTTGGTCAACTTCTTCTCCAGCTGACTGATGTAGAGGTCGTCGGTCGCTTTGTAGGTGCGCATGATGTACTGCCACGCTTGGAAGCTAGCATCTACCTGTTGTCTGCACGACTTCAATGCGACCTGCACCAGAGGCGAATAACACCTCGAAATAACCATGAAGGTCAGTAGATGAGGAGCGCGAAATTCCGTCCAGAGTTCAGAGTCGTCTGTTTTCGGCGTCACAACATTGCCGTCGACGAACTTCTTTAATCCGGCAATCTTTAGCTGGGGCTCAATGGATTCAATCCACGTGATCAAGTCGTATCGACCTTCGAGCGGCTTCGGCACAGCGATCTTGTCCGGCTTTATTTTTTAAATATACGTTTGTCGGTGCGATGCCTCCGTCTCGACCAGTTGATGCATGAGTCGCAGAAGCCGGCCTGGCTCCACTCCGCAGAGGACCGACGTTGCCGTTCGAGCTGCCTCCAGTCGCAGATGATCGCAGCACTTGCGCCTGCACTCCGCCATCGGTGGGCCAAATCACTCCGCGAACCCTCATGCTTCCATCGCCGACGACATTGCCGCCATCTCCTTCGTTGTGCACGGGTCGGGGAGAGGCGGATGTGTCATCCGCTTCTGCACGGGGAGGGGTATGCTCACGCGCCCACTACGCACGAGTTCCAAGGAGCAGAATCTCCAAGTCCGCCTCGCCGTAACCGCCAGCCTCGTGGCGTGCCCGAACACCAGCGTCTCTCACCTCCAGGGTATCTTCTACGCCCGTTTCAACGACGGGGTCGACCATGGTGACTAAGATGGCTGCCGACCTAACAACAACTTAGGTAATGAACGCATAAGTCGGCTATTTGAAATTTCTAACGCGGGGCCGTCCACGCTCACCGCACCATACGGAGAATACTATTCTACGGGAGAGCTTGACTAGCGTGGGACACACGGTCAGAGTTCTGGCAGTGATTCTCAGAAGTGAACTTAGTTGTCTTGGTAGAATTTACGCATAGTTCCACTAGCAAAAGTTCATAGAACAAGATTATGGTACAAGCAAGGAGAACCAAATAGCAAAGACAATGAACCCTGTAGAAACGTTCCTCGACAAGCACCTGAATCTGTCGAGTCAGCAACGGCAGGCGAAACGACAAGCACATGCATATTTCACCTCAGTTGGTAGTTGCTCAGGTTTACAACGTTCATAGTTGTGCACGTTTTTACTGTTAGTAAAAACGTGTTTCAGGTTCAGTTTCCTTACTGAATCGAATTCTCCTGGGGAGTGCAATTTCCGAAATTACCTGATTGGTCGAAATTTGCTGTTCCGTAACTGGGCGAAATTCGCGCAAATGGCAGTTTTTGGAGCTAATTAAATCTGGTCGACCAGAATCGATCTGCTCGACTAAACACTCATCGAACTAAATTCTGTCGACAAGCTATCCGTCGAAACCCCATTTCTGCTGATTCTGTCTATCAGAACGGCTCGTCTTTGACGCCGTTTTACTCCCCTCGACGAGCTCCTCCTAGACGAGGACTTTGGTCGAGCCGAGGAAACACTTCTACCTCGACCAAATAATCTTGTCGACAAATGACTCATCGCACACAGAGAAAAAGTCCCCGAAGTCGCCGATGACCACGCAACGAACACCGTCTTGTTCCGAAATGCATGGTCGACTTTGCCCAAGCGAGGGCGGGGCCTTTTCTCTTCGACAATACACGTTGCGGTCTACATACCCCCAGGGACAGGCCTTGGTTAATCACTTGAAAACCGGGTGAACCAAGTACACATGATGCCCGCTTGAGCCACTCCCGGTTACCTTTTAAAGGGAGCTTAAAGGCTGTAACGGGCGTTTCGCATAACTTTCGTCAATTCGCAGCTAGCAAAAAGGTCTTCGTCAGGTGCTTGTAAAAATGTTTGTAACCTATCAGTCCCTTCAGTCTCATCAGTCTCTTCAGTATGGAATCGGTCTGTTCGTTACTATTGGTTCATAACAACAGCAGCTTGCGCGACGTGCTTGTAAAGAGCGTGCAACTGGCTGGGAAAAAAACCTCGGGTGCAGGGTTTCCATCCGTTGCAGGGCAAATTCGCGTGCACGGGTTGGGCATCATGTGTACCTGTCTGTGAAGAAACAATCGAGGCGGAAAGAGGGAGGGGACTGGGGGTTCCCAAACCAATCGACACCCTGTTCGAGCGTCTGCAACGGAACGTGACTAGGGAACTTTTAGCGGTTGCAAAATTTTGTCGCGTCTGGTTCGGGAAGAAACTCAGAACCAACACCTCACGTCCCCGTCCCGTAATGTTATCGAGCAGTGCCCGAAAGCTGACCTAGGGCAGCCCTTCCGCACATTCTTCCCCCGCCCTTCCCCCCCTCACGAAATAACCAAAATTTCGCTTGATTCCCATCCCATCCCATCGTCCCTAGCGAAACTGAGTAGTTCCGCCAGTCTTTTTTGACTGGGTCGCACGCACAGTTCCGAGCGGGAGCCTGTTCGCAAGCGAATCAACCTGTGACAAAGGGTGTGCAATAGAAATACCCCCTAAAAACACCCAGATGTATGTGGACCTCGAGAAGACAACAGAACCCAACATGGTCGCGCGGGAACGAAGCAGACCCTCCACTCGAGCATATTTTTCCAATCCGGAAAATCCCTGAAAATCCCACCAACCACATGCCTCAACTCAGCTGCCCTGAGTGTGCCGAGTCACGCAACACCATTGGTCAGCGCCACTCCGCCACCCCCGGCCCGTGGTCTCGTGCGAATGGTACAACAGTCACTCATTGACCCATCGGAGTCGTTGGATTTGCCATTGAGACCAGGAGAATGCGTGGCTGTCAGGCATTGTGTCATGAACAACTGTAAATGGAATGGGCCCATGTATGGTGGTGGCTGGGTGGATGTGTGGTGTGGTGAAATCGAATGGCTATATAATTTTGATAGGCTTGGCCGTTTGTGTGGTGTTGGCATGTCATCGCCATACCATCTCAACGACATGCTGGCGAGGCGCAACGACTGCTCTGGGAGTAGGGAAAGTTGTTCGCACAAATCGCGAGGGATCGTTCGCATTCTTCGTGAACGAAGTGATATCTGCGGATCCGACACCACACTGCAACACACCACAAATACCTAACCGCATGTTATGCTAGCTTGTTACCTCAGGCCCGCCCGCCGCCATCTCACGCGCTTTCTTTATTTCAAAGACTCTTCTGTATGTCTGATGTACACGTAGACAGACATGCTGTTTAACAAGCTCCAGCATGATAAAGTGACGATGGCTGGCACTAGCAGGCACACATCCTCTTCGCTTCTCCCTCTGTATATTATCATGAATTTCGCTCCCCTCAACAATTCGTCGAGGAATGGGCGAGCTATTTGTGCGTTCTTGGGCCGTGTGATGTTAGGGACCAGGGCTCCTTGTCTCCGTCTCCGACCTGCATCAAGATTCATTCTCTCAGAGTTCAGCCTTTGCCCTTGCGGCGTCGATTAATCTCTCCGAGAACACAAACTCGTCACCGTTCAATCCACCGCTGCTGGCCGCCGCCTCTTCCTCCCTCCAATAACCCTAAATTATTTTGAAGTTATTGGTTGTTCTCGTTTGCGCCTTACTGGTCAACAAAGAGGACTCCAGAAAGCGCGAGTGGAGACGATTTTTGAGGCGCCTCGAAAATCGTCTCGTTTGCGCCTTGCTGGTCAGCAAAGAGGACTCCAGAAAGCGCGAGTTCGCGAGTTTCTTGGATACTCCTGTTACCTCCGACTCGGAACATTCAGATGAAACGCTAGCAGCGAATTCGACTCGAGTCGAGACTTAACCGGCAATCGCCGACCGACTGGCCCGAGCGTAGCTCTCGCATTAGGAGATCGGTTCGACCCGAACTAAGATGGCTGATCTGCTTGCCGCGCTTGACCCACCCATTTCGGAGATTAGTTATACTGGAGGTCAGGGTAAAGAGCGTCTGTTCATCGCGGTCCGACCTCATCGGCACGCGCCACGGCGCCGCGCCGCCGCTGCCCTCCAGCTCTCCCTCTTCGCGTCGCTTCTCCTTTCCGCAGTCCCTGTGATGTGCGGCGTCAATCGCGCTGATCATTCCCGGGTCGAGCGCGCGCCGAGTAGAGGGAATGGCGGCGGGGGGGCGGCTGCTCTCGCGTCCTCTGCTGCGGCTCAACAAACAGGAGCCGTTGCTGGCGAGTCGAGGCGGGAAACTCTCTCATTGGCTCCTCGGCTGGCGGCCACGTGGCGTACTCCCGTTGGCGTTCACCGTCTCAGGTACGGACAGCCTCCCTCCGTGCAGCTAAAACGTGGTCACACGTGGCCACACCCCTTTCCCCACGTGCTCTTTCCGTCAAGCGATTAAGTCGTTCCGTTCACAGATCGCATCATCGGCGCCGTCAGCGCCGCCAGCACCGTCAGATTGCTTCCATTATCCTTCCGATCGCATCATCATCGCCGTCAACGCCGTCAATGCCGTCAGATTGCTCCAGGTATCCCTCGAATGTACTGTTCTCCTTCCGCTTCCCACCCAGCAAGACCCCCTCTCCCCTTCCCCCCTTCTCCCCCTCCCTCCACCCCTTCCTCTCCTCCCTTCCCCTTCTCCGCAGGTATCAGGGGAACCGCCGCAGCTTTGGTGCCGTCCCCACTGCAGCTGAGGTGACTTTTGAGTCGACTCAAAAGTCACCTCGTCCTCACTGCAGCTGGTAACCAGCCGCTCTCCCCACCTCCCCCTCCCCTTCCTCCTCTCCCCCCGTCCCCTTCTCCGCAGGTATCAGGGGGAGAGCCACTGTTACATTGCCATCTCATTGCACCCAACAACCTCCTGCTCTCTCCACCTTTCCCCCCCTCTTTCCCCTCCTCCCCCGGCCCCCCTCTCCCCCACTCCCCTTCTCCACAGGTATCAGGGGGAGCGCTAAGCTTCGGTGCCGCCCTCGCTGCACCCGGTAACTAGCAGCTCTCCCCTCTTCCCCTCCCCGGCCCCCCCCTCTCCTTCCATTCCCCTTCCCTACAGGTATCACGGGAAGCGCCGCAGCAGTGCCGCCCTCGTTGCACCCGGTAACCAGCAGCTCTCCTTACCTTTTTCCCACTCCCCCCCACCTCCCCTGCACCTTCACTTCTCCAAATTCCCCTTCTCCGCAGGTATCAGGGGAAGCGCGGCGGAAGTGCCGTCCTCACTGCAGCTGGTAACCAGGCACTCTCCCCACCCCCCCCTTCCGTTCCTCCTCCAGCTCCACTCTCCCCTCCTTCACCCAAGCAGTCCCTTTCACTTTCCTTAGCAGCAGCAACCCCAGCAGAAGCAGAAACAGAAGCAGAAGCTGAAGCAGTAGGAGGAGGAGGAAAGTTACGGGCAGCAATTGCGAGGTTGAACGCGCGTTCTGGTCAAAGAGAAAGCAGTGGGAACTTCACAGCAGGTGCAGCAGGCGCAGCAGCAGCAGCAACCGCAGCAGCTGAAGTCTCATCCCCTAGTGTCCCATTCAATAATATCACCTTCAATAATATCACCTTCAATAATGTCACGCTCAATAACGCCCCTCTCAATAAGCCGCTCTCCAAGGGGGGGATGAAGCATGGCTGTCACAGGTGGCCGTGCAGCGCGCGCCCGGGGCTGTGCGGAGTGATGCATCGCCCCATCCGCGTCTACCTCATCTGGTTCGGCCCGTTCTCCAGAGCGCAGAAGAACATTCTCAGAAGCTTCATCCGGTCGATTTCGGACCGGGGCGATCCCGAAAACACAGGTGGGTGTGGGGGAGGGTGGAGGGGAGGAAGGGAGGTTGATTATGTGCGTGTGGGGGGGGCGGAGGAGGGGTCGTGTGTGTGTGTGTGTGTGTGTGTGTGTGTGTGTGTGTGTGTGTGTGCGTGGGGTGGGGGTGTGTGTGTGTGTGTGCGCGCATGTGTGTGTGCGTGTGTGTGTGTGTGTGTGTGCGTGGGGTAGGAATGTGTGTGTGCGTGGGGTAGGTGTGTGTGTGTGTGTGTGCGCGCGTGGGGTGGGGGTGTGTGTGTGTGTGTGCGCGCGCGTGTGTGTGTGCGTGTGTGTGTGTGTGTGTGCGTGTGTGTGTGTGTGTGTGTGCGTGTGTGTGTGTGTGGGGGGGGTGGGGGTGTGTGCTTCATCCGGTCCATCTTAGACAGGAGGGATCCCACAAACACAGGTGGGTGTGGCGGAGTGGAAGGGAGGGGAGGGGGCGTGGGGTTGTGCGTGCATGCGTGTGTGTTGTTCCTGCACTCTTCTCCTCCTTTCTATCTTCTCCTATTCCTGCACTCCGCACTCAGTCCCCAGCTGGAGGGGCATCAACCGTCCGTCAGAACCACGACTGCAGGGGCCGCCCCGTCTTTGCTCCACACACAGAGTTGATTTTTGAGGCGCCTCAAAAATGAACTCTATCCAGCTGGAGGGGCATTAACCGTCCGTCAGTACCACGACTGCAGCGGCCGCCCTGTCTTTGCTCCACACACGCTTCTCGCTCCTCAATCCCCTCCCTTCCTTGCCCCCTCCCCCCCCCTCCCTTCCTTGCCCCCTCCCCCCCCCCCCTGCTCCCAGTCCCCGGCTGGTGGGACATCAACCGTCAGTACCACGACTGCAAGGGCCGCCCGGTTTCCTCCTCCGTGACGCTCAAAGGCGAGTCATCATACCCGTTCGGCCGCCGCTCCTCCCGCCGCCCAGCTTCCCGCCGCCCGACTTCCGGCGACCTGACTTCCCGCCGCCCATCTTCCAGCCGCCCATTTTCCAGCCGCCCGGTTACCCGGCATTCGGCTGAGATTAGCAGTAGCAGTCGTGACAGGGGTAGCGGCAGCAGTGGCTCTACCAGCAGCGGTAACAGCACAACCACCGACAGCAGCAACACCAACACGACCAGCAGCAGTGCGAACACAACCAGCAGCAGCAAATGCAGCAGTGGGAACACAACCAGCAGCAGCAAATGCAGCAGTGGGAACACAACCAGCAGCAGCAGCAACGGCAAAAGTGCCAGCCCTACCAGCAGCAGCAGCGCCAACAGAACGAGCAGCAAGAGCAAGGGCAAGGGCGGCATGCAGGGGTTTCGGTGGATAGGTGAAAAAGGTATCCTGCCGACGCTCTTCGGTTCCCTGGGGTCAACGGCATCGGTGCATGCAGTCATCCGCGAGTCCATCTTGCGGCGCTACCTGCCCTTTGATACGAAAGGGGTTTACTTTGTCATCTCCTCTCCACGCATGAAGAGGGTGAGTGGGTGTGGCTGGGCAGGGTGCGGGGGCAAAAGGGGGTCTCTCTCTCTCTCTCTTTGGTTCCCTGGGGTCAACTGCATCGGTGCATGCAGTCATCCGCGAATCCATCTTGAGACACTACCTCCCGTTTGACACCAAAGGAGTGTATTTTGTCATCACCTTTCCGAGAATGAAGAGAGTGAGTGGGTGTGGCAGGGCGTGCAGGTGCTGGTGGCTCTCCCTTTGGTTCCCTCGTGTGATAAGTCGAGTTTTGAGTCGAGTTTTGAGTCGACTCAAAACTCGACTTATCACACGCGTGCAGGTGCTGGTAGGTCTCCCTTTGGTTCCCTCAGGTCGACAGACAACATCGGTGCATCCAGTCATCCATGAGCGCTGTGACTTTTGAGTCGACTCAAAAGACAGACAGCATCGGTGCATGCTGTCATCCATGAGCACATCTTGAGACGGCACCTGCCTTTCTGAGACGTCTCAAAAGTGAAGGAGTTTTGCAGCTCCTTCTAAGCCTGGCACTGGCACTCGTACGTTCCCATGAGTTTGTCTCGTCGTTTTAAGAACCATCTAAGTTGTTGGACATAAGACCTCCGCAGCCCACCTGTTTAATGATAACAGCACCTGGCACTGGCACTCGTACGTTCCCATGAGTTCCCCCCACCCATTTTTGAGTCGACTCGTTTTTTAGTCGACTCATTTTTTAGTCGACTCATATTTTAGTGGACTCATTTTTTAGTTGACTCATTTTTTAGTTGACTCATTTTTTTAGTCGACTCTTTTTTTAGTCGACTCAAAAATAGGCTGGTGAAGGGGTTTTGCAGCTCCTTTTATGCCTGTGCACTGGCACTCGGACGTTCCCATGAGTTCCCCCCATTCATTCCTTCACCGCTCAAACTCTTCCCCTTTCCCCCCCTCCCCGTCCAACACCCCGTCCAAAGAATGCTGAAGGGGTTTTGCAGCTCCTTGTGTGGCTGGCTGGCTGGCACTCGTGCATCGCCATGATTCTAATCGAGCCCCACTTAGAGGCCATGGGTCAATACGTGGGGCTCGATTGGACTCCTTCTCTGGCTGGTTGGCACTCGTACATCGCCATGATTCTCTGCGTGTTTGAAGAAGTGTTTTGAGGCGGCTCAAACACGCAGAGACTTCTTCAAACACGCAGAGACTTCTTCAAACACGCAGAGACTTCTTCAAACACGCAGAGACTTCTTCAAACACGCAGAGACTTCTTCAAACACGCAGCTCCTTGTGTGGCTGGCACTCCTACATCGCCATGATTCCCCCCCGCCCCCTTCCTCCAGCGCTCAAACTCGTCCCCCTTCCTCCCTCCCCATCCCCCATTCCCCCTCCTCGTCCTCCCCCCCATCACTCCCCTCCCCTGACAGAAGATGATGCTGAAAGGATTCTGCACCGCCTTCTGTGGCTGGCACTCATACATCAACATGATGGGCAAGAGGATCAAGACGAGCCTCGTCGGCAACCCTGCTGGCCGGGTAAGGCGGGGTTGAGTGCGGTTGAATGTGGATGAGTGAGCCTGAGTGAGGCTGAGTGCGGTTGAGTGGTTATCAGTGCTTTTGTGGCCGGCACTCATACATCAACATGATGGGCAAGAGGATCAAGTCGAGCCTCGTCGGCAACCCTGCTGGCCGGGTAGGGCCTGATTCAGTGCGGTGGAATGCGGTTAGGTGACGTTCACTGAGGTTGAGTGCGGTTTGGTATGGTTCTGTGGAGTTTACTGGCATTTAACCTAACTCTATGGTGTTTCTGCGGCTGGCAATCATACTTCACTTCAACATGATGGGCTAGAGGATGCAGACGAGCCTCGTCAGCAACCAAGAGGATCAAGACAATCCTCGTGCATTGAGTGCTGTTGCCCGAGCAACCCTGCCGGCAGGGTAAGGTGTGGTTGAGTGCTGTTGCATGCGGTTGAGTGAGTACACTGAGGCTGAGTGCGGTGCAGTGTGCTTCTGTGGAGTTAACTGGCACTGTTCAATCGCACCTTCGCCCCTCAACTCATCACAGCTACACGTTTCTTCCCTTGCTCTATCTTCCCCCTCCCTATCTTCCCTCTTTCCACTCCCCATTCTCCCTTCCACCCCCGGTCCTCCCTGTCCCTCCTTCAGTGTCCCCCCAACTGTGCAAGACTGCTCAGTGGCGGAGCTAGCAAGCAGTGCTTGTGCTCTTGCGGTCTGCCCCTCCCAGTGTCCCCCCAACTGTGCCGTGTCGGAAGTAGCGTCCAGTCTAGCAGCCCCCAACAGGGACAAGGGAATGGACGCGCTCGTCTCCACCTTCGCCTCTCCTCACACCCACACCATTCTCTTTCCAACCCTCGCCACCCCTTTCCAACCCTCTCCACCCCTCCCAGTGTCTACCTAATTGTGCGGCATGGGAGCTAGCGTCCAGCTTTGCAGCGCCCAACAGGGACAAGGGAATGGATGCGTTCGTCTCCACCTTCGCGCACGAGCTAGCAGAGGCCACTAGGGACCCTTACCTCTCCACCTTCGCCCATGCTCACAGCTATACGTTGCTCCCTTTGCTCTCTCCCCCCTTACCCCCCCATCCCCTTCCTGCTCCCTCAGTGCCTGCCCAGCCCAACTGTGCTGCATGGGAACTGGCATCTAGCCTGGCAGCGCCCAACAGGGACAAGGGAATGGACGCACTGGTCTCCACCTTCGCCCACACTCACATCTACACCCTCCTCTTCCCGTGCTCTCTCCCACCCATGCCAGTGCCTGCCCAACTGCGCAGCGTGGGAATTAGCGTCCAGCCTGGCGGCGCCCAACAGGGACAAGGGAATGGACGCGCTGGTCTCCACCTTCGCCCACGAGCTCGCAGAGGCCACTAGCGACCCGTACCTGTCCACCTGGATGAATGAGAAGGGCGAGGAGAACGCTGATATGTGCTCCTACAGGTGTGTGGCTTAGTGGGTGTGGGATCCAGTGGGTGTGGGGTGTTGTGGGGTTCAGTGGTGTGGGGTTCGGTGGGTGCATGGTTGAGTGAGCTCGCAGTGGCCACCAGCGACCGCCACCTCTCCACGTGGATGAATGACAAGGGCGAGGAGAACGTCGATATGTGCTCTTACAGGTGTGTGTGTCTACAGGTGCGGTTCGGTTTGTTATGGTGCAGTGCGGTTGATGGCATGATTGGGCTCGCAGAGGCCACCAGCGACCCCTACCTCTCCACGTGGATGGACGAGTAGGGGGGTGAGAATGCCGGTGCCTGCTCTTACATGTGCGGTTTGTTGCGTTGTGATGGGGTTTGCCAACCCCCCACCCTTGCTCCCACCATCTCCCCCCAACCTCCCTTTTTCTTCCCTTTTCTCGCCCTTTTCTAATTCGTTTTTGAATATATTTATATAAATACGGGGAGCATTTACTTACTATTGTTGAGAGCTTGTATTAAGAGTAATACCCATTAACGCTCTTGAAATGTCTGTGCTGCCACAGCTGCCGTGCTGCATTTTTTCAAAATTATCCTTGCTTTCCCCCACCTGCCCTGCCCCGTGCGGTACCTGCATTTTTTTACATATGTGGTGTTCTGATATCTATCAGCTATGGTGATATTGGCTGGACATCCAGTGGCGCCCCGTACAACATGGAGGGTGTGGGAGGATCCAGGTTTCTTGTTCAGCAAAATTATCACCTTATAGAGCAACAATGTGCCACGTATGCTTAGCAAACATGTGACCACTTGAGATAAGCGAAGCAGATGTATCTTCTTTGTTGATGGGTCTTGCACATGTACAAGAGACAATACATAAGCAGCTTTGCAGAAAAGTGTACACATTTAGTGGACCCAACCCTTCGTGGTACAGTATAACATGATCCACCCTTTTCCCCCCTTCGATACAAATTCAGGCTCAGTGCATCCCTGCCGTACATGGCCTCCATCCCTCCGCTCAGAGAGCTGTTCCCAGTTGCTTCTGGGCAGCAATTATCCGCTAAACGACGGATTTGGGCTGCCAAAGTGCAGCCCTTGCCTGTCGCGACATGCGAAAATTGTGGTGGTTGGCTGGGATGAGACTAAGGAAATTGGGAAAAGTGCCATCGGGCTGACCGTAAAGACACAAACACACCACTGACCAAGAATCTGACATTGATCTGTTGGCAGACGAAGGGACACGAAACACATGTTGACACAATCCACGTGTTGTCCTTCAACACCGACCAAATTTGATGCTTTTGAAGTACCCACGCCAGAAGAAGTTCTGATCCGAACCCGCGCGATTTTTTGGATTCACTGCCAATTTCGCAAGTGATTTGCTTCAAGTTCCCACTGGTCGTGTTGTTGGATCAAGAACTCTTCATCGGACCTGCCACTGCTGCATTCCGAATAAAAGTGACGAAAATACTCAGGTTTCCCAGTTTGGGTTTATGGGCGTACAGACTCCTTACCCTCATAATGTACGCAATGGCCCCAATTGTTCCACTCGTTGTTGTCGTGTCGAGCTTGCATGCCCGCTCACGAAAATCCTAAGGCTCTCCTGCTTGCTCCGTGTTCCGTTTGCCATCTCACCTTTGACAGATCCACCTTTCATTTCACCACTCCAACCTGACTCGCAGTCACACCACTTCCCCCAGGACAGACTCCAGAAGATTCTTGGATCTACAGTTTGAGCCCTGCACTTCAGGTGACAAACCCGTACGGTTTGTCCATCACTCGATGCGAGCGAATCTTTTCTAGGGTTTCCATTCCCCAGCCAGGACCAGGCAGCTCCTATAGCTGTGTGACGGACAGATTCTTCTAGCTCGTTCAGATCGACTTTTTTGTGTTTTTTTTTTCTGCTCTGCAGTTACTATTTTCCCCTCTGTATCGCATCTTATAAATCCGCCATGGATGTGCAACTGACCGAAGGTTCATCGGGATTTCCGAGTAACGTTCCATCAGTAATGATGGCTCGCGGAGCTGGCGTCGGCGGTAGCGGCGGGACTCCTGCCGAAAGTAGTCAGGCAAAGCTCGAGCCTATCGAAGGAGGAGAATTGTATGACGAGGATAATATAGGGATGGATGCTAATGCGAGCTTTAGGAGAAATATGTGTATGATAGCCTTAGGTACTAGCCATTCGTTACAAGCTCTTGCGCCGCAAGGCGGCCCGGGTGGCGGAAGCATGGCGGCTCCGCACGGACAGGGTCAGATGGACAAAGATTTTCTCTGCCCGATTTGTATGGAGCCGATGCGCGACGCGTTTCTAACCGCGTGCGGGCATAGTTTCTGCTACTCGTGCATCACCACGCATCTGCATCACAAGCGGAACTGCCCGTGCTGTTCGCAATTCCTCACTCTCGACCAGATATTCCCGAATTTCACGCTTAACAAGGTAAATTTCTTGCCTCACACTTGACTAAGCATCTCCAGTCGTAGTATTTTTCGCACCCTCGGAGCTCCTCACCCGTGTCTCCCGCTTCCCCCGTCCAGCTCTTAAAGAAAGCCACCGTGACGCAGATTGTCTCTTTCCGAAACGTCCCTAAATTCGCCCCGTGTCCCCCGCCATGTTCCCCGCTCCGCTCCCTCCGCTCCGTCTGCTCCCTCCGCTCCCTCTGCCTGTGCAGCTCCTTAAGAAAGCCACCGCGACGCAGATGGTCTCGACCGCGTCGCCGTCGCAGCACCTGCGGCTGGCGCTGCAGCACGGCGCGGACGTGAGCATGAGCGTGCGCGAGCTGGACGCGCTGCTGGCGCTGCTGGCGGAGAAACGGCGCAAGGCGGAGCAGGAGGAGGCGGAGATGAACATGGATATCCTCCTCGATTTTTTACAGCGGTCGCGGCAGAAGAAGCAAGCGGAACTGGACGAGGTTCGTACTGTACCGAGTGTTATCGAGTTTGTCTATAGCGGAGCAAGTGCTGTCGTACCCCCACTTCCCTGCCTTCCGCCATCTCCCTTCTCCCATTCTCCGGCGCTGTTCCTCGCATAGAAGCTCCGCAGGCGCGCACAGCAGCACATGCGTGCAGTCCGCTCATCCTCCTTCCCCCTGGTCTCTCCCGACGTCCGCGGTTCCCTCCCCATTTCCAGCTCCGCGCGGACCTTCTGTTCATCCGCAAGGACATAGCGGCGGTGGAGCAGCTCAGGTCCGCTCAGAACATGCGCGAGCAGTCCGCCCATCCCCCTTCCTTTCCGCTTTTTCTCCCTCCGTTTTTCCCCCCCAGCTCCGCGCGGACCTTCTCTTCATCCGTGAGGACATAGCGGCGGTGGAGCAGCGGCGGCGCGCGCTGCAGCAGATGCGCGAGCAGTCCGCCGCCGCCATCCACGCGCTGCTCTTCCGCGGAGGCGCGTCTTCCGCGGGCGCGGGGGGAGACGAAACGGGGTTCGGCTCCGGGGGACTGGCGGGGCTGAAGGCGGGCGCGGGGGGAGGGCTAGCGGGGAGCAAGCGGAGAGGGGGGCCCGCACTCGCGCACCACCTGCAGCAGACCGCGCAGAAGATGCGCATTCAGGGGGATGGGCGGGGGATAGGCGGAGGAGGTGTGGGGACGGTGAAGGAGGAGGCGGAAGGGGAGGGGGGAGGGGAAGGGGGAGGGCTGGTCGCGTGTGGGCCGTCGGATATTGCCATGTCCGCATCAACGGTTGCCAAGAAACGACGCGTTTTTTCCCATGTAGGTTGGATGGAATGGAACAGACCGTTGAGATTGAGAGGCTATCCAACGGTGGAGAGATGCCGTTCTGGATCTGCTGCTCCTCCTCTCTCAATCATTTCCTGGTTTGACCTTTTGTTGTTGTTTTTATTTTTATTCTATTTCCCATTTACTTTCTTCTCTTTTTCCAGCAGGTGCCGCACTCCCTCAGACCTTCCTCTCCCCCTCATCCCCTCTCCTTCCCCCGTGTGCAGTTCGACGACCTACAGGAGTGCTACCTGTACCACCGCCGCCAGGCAGCGCACTTTCTCAGATCTTGCTCACCCCCTCTCCCCTCACATATGCCCTTTCTCTCCTCTCTTCTGCAGTTCGACGACCTGCAGGAGTGCTACCTGCACCACCGCCGCCAGGCAGCGCACTCCGCCAAGCCCGCGGGAGCAGCAGGAGGAGCATCCGCAGCATCACAAGCAGCAGCAGCAGCAGCAGAGGCGGGAAGGCGTGGAGACCGGTCAGCAGCAGGAGCAGGAGAGGGCGGGGCGGTAGGGCAGGTGGACCTGGGCATGGGCCTGGAGGACTTCCGGCAGGTGTTAGCAGCGTTCACGCGGTTCAGCCGTGTCAAGGTGGTGGCGGAGTTGCGGCAGGGGGATTTGTTCCATTCCTCCAACATTGTCTCGAGTATTGAGTTCGACCGCGACGACGAGTTCTTTGCCACGGCGGGCGTGTCGAGGCGAATCAAGGTCTTCAACTTCTCGCAGGTCAGTTACTTTGTGAGACGTCTCAAAACCACGTGTAGAAAGTAGATTTTTGAGACGTCTCAAAACCACGTGTAGAAAGTAGATTTTTGAGACGTCTCACGAATCAAGGTCTTCAACTTCTCGCAGGTCGGTTACTTTGTTTTGCCCTGGGCGAGGGGTAGGGCGGGCGGGAGTGTGCGTGCGCAGCGCGCTCACAGATGCTGTGATGTGATGCTGCTGGCGGCATTTGCCTTCTGCAGCCGGGAAGGTGGCGGGGATTAGCCACGTGTGGAGAGAGCGTTTTTGAGACGTCTCATAAACACCCTCTCTGCGCGTTCACAGGTGCTGTGATGTGATGATGCTGTGATGTGATGATGCTGTGATGTGATGCTGCTGTGATGTGATGCTGCTGTGATGTGATGATGCTGTGATGTGATGCTGCTGTGATGTGATGCTGCTGTGATGTGATGATGCTGTGATGTGATGCTGCTGTGATGTGATGCTGCTGTGATGTGATGCTGCTGTGATGTGATGCTGCTGGCAGCATCTGCCCTGTGCAGCCAGCCGGGAAGGTGGCGGGCGGCGAAGCTGTGGCTGCCCCTGCCCCGCCACCCCCTTCCACCTTCTCCCATGCACCCCCTTCCGCCTTCTCCCATGCACCCCCTTCCGCCTTCTCCCATGCACCCCCTTCCGCCTTCTCCCATGCACCCCCTTCCGCCTTCTCCCATGCACCCCCTTCCGCCTTCTCCCATGCACCCCCTTCCACCTTCTCCCATGTACCCCCTTCCGCCTTCTCCCATGCACCCCCTTCCGCCTTCTCCCATGCACCCCCTTCCGCCTTCTCCCATGCACCCCCTTCCGCCTTCTCCCATGCACCCCCTTCCGCCTTCTCCCATGCACCCCCTTCCGCCTTCTCCCATGCACCCCCTTCCGCCTTCTCCCATGCACCCCCTTCCGCCTTCTCCCATGCACCCCCTTCCGCCTTCTCCCATGCACCCCCCTCCGCCTTCTCCCATGCACCCATGTTCCATTTCAGGTGGTGGGAGAGCTCGCAGACGTGCACTGTCCAGTCGTGGAGATGCCTACTCGCTCAAAACTGAGCTGCCTGTCGTGGAACCCCTACCTCAAGGCGCACATTGCCAGCAGTGACTACGAGGGCATTGTGACGGTGTGGGACGTGGGCACGGGGCAGAGTCTACTGGAGTATGAGGAGCACGAGAAGCGGGCTTGGTCGGTGGACTTTGCGCGCACGGAACCTACCAGACTGGTATCTGGGAGCGACGATGGGAAGGTGTGTGACTGGGAAAGCTGGGGCGGTGCGCACGGGGTGGAAAGGCACTCAGGGCAGGGCAGGGCAGGGCAGGGCAGACAGAGGGACGTGGGCACGGGGCAGAGCTTGGTGGAGTATGAGGAGCACGAGAAGAGAGCGTGGTTCGTGGACTTGGCGAGGACGGAACCCACGAGGCTTGTCTCTGGCAGTGACGATGGGAAGGCGAGTTAGTGAATGATGAGTGATGCCTCCCCCCTCACCTCCTCAACCTCCCCCGCTCGCCTCCTCAACCTCCCCATCCCTCCCCTCGGTCACCGCCGCTCTATGTCTGGTATGCGGCTCTTCGCCTCTTGCTCCTCTCCTCTCCGTGTTATCGATCCTGCTGCCCCACTCCATCTCGTGCCACTTGATGTGAATCACAGGTGAAGATCTGGTGCACGCGGCAGGAGAGCAGCATCCTCAACATCGACATGAAGGCCAACATCTGCTGTGTCAAGTTCAACCCCGGCTCCGCCAACTTCATTGCGGTAAGCCCGTGCATTCACGCATCGTTCTGCATTCCTCCCTTTGTTGGCCTTATCATTCGGGTCAATGTATGGTAAGTTATACCCTACCCTGTAATGAATGCCAACATCTGCTGTGTCAAGTTCAACCCCGGCTCCGCCAACTTCATTGCGGTAAGGCTCTTCTCATCCCCACATCCCCCCTTGGTCGGCGTTATCATCTGGGCCAATATATAGTCAGCAACACCTGATGCTGACATGAAGGCCAACATCTGCTGTGTCAAGTTTAACCCGGGCTCCGCCAACTTCATTGCTGTGAGTCTATAATTGTTCTCTTACAAGCTTCTTCACATTCACTACTACAGTATCAGAGCGCCACCAGCGCTGCCTCTCCACGTGCTGAGCTTCCCTGTGTCTATCCTCTCTCTTGGCTGTGCCCTCCCTGCATGTGCGAACCGCAGGTCGGATCAGCGGACCATCACATTCACTACTACGACATCAGAGCACCAGCGCTCCCCCTCCACATGTTCAGCTCCCCTCCCTCCTTCGGTTTCCCCTGTTTTTTTCCCCATACCAGGTCGGATCAGCGGACCATCACATTCACTATTACGACATCAGAGCGCCAGCGCTGCCACTCCACGTGTTCAGCGGGCATCGCAAGGCCGTGAGCTACGTCAAGTTCCTCTCGCCCTCGCAGCTCGCCTCTGCCTCCACCGACAGCACGCTCCGGCTGTGGGACGTGCACTCCCACGCTGCCGTGAGTACCCCTTTCAAAGTCCCTTCTCCCTCTTCCCTTCCTTGAGGGTTCACTCGCAAGGCTGTGAGCTACGTGAAGTTCCTCTCGCCCTTGCAGCTCGCCTCTGCCTCCACCGACAGCACTCTCAGGCTCTGGGATGTGCACTCCCACGCTGCGGTGAGTTGCTCTCGGACTTTCTTCCTCTTTCGCAAGGCCAAGAGCTGCCTGAAGGGAAGTTCCTCTCGCCCTCGCAGCCCGCCTCGGCCTCCACCAACAGCACTCTCCGGCTATGGGACGTGCATTCGCACACAGCGGTGAGTTGCTCTCTCCGGCTATGGGACGTGCATTCGCACACAGCGGTGAGTTGCTCTCTCCGGCTATGGGACGTGCATTCGCACACAGCGGTGAGTTGCTCTCTCCGGCTATGGGACGTGCATTCGCACACAGCGGTGAGTTGCTCTCTCCGGCTATGGGACGTGCATTCGCACACAGCGGTGAGTTGCTCTCTCCGGCTATGGGACGTGCATTCGCACACAGCGGTGAGTTGCTCTCTCCGGCTATGGGACGTGCATTCGCACACAGCGGTGAGTTGCTCTCTCCGGCTATGGGACGTGCATTCGCACACAGCGGTGAGTTGCTCTCTCCGGCTATGGGACGTGCATTCGCACACAGCGGTGAGTTGCTCTCTCCGGCTATGGGACGTGCATTCGCACACAGCGGTGAGTTGCTCTCTCCGGCTATGGGACGTGCATTCGCACACAGCGGTGAGTTGCTCTCGGACGTTCTTCTTCTCTTCGTCTCTCTCCTTGGGTCCCGACTCCCGACACGTCAAGTTCCTCTCGCCCTTGCAGCTCGCTTCTGCCTCTACCGACAGCACTCTGAGGCTATGGGATGGCCACTCGCATGCTGCAGTGAGTGTCCCTTCTCACACTTGTGCCAAGGCCAAGAGCTGCCTGAAGCGAAGTTCCTCTCGCCCTTGCAGCTCGCCTCTGCCTCTACCGACAGCACTCTGAGGCTATGGGATGGCCACTCGCATGCTGCAGTGAGTGTCCCTTCTCACACTTGTGCCAAGGCCAAGAGCTGCCTGAAGCGAAGTTCCTCTCGCCCTTGCAGCTCGCCTCTGCCTCTACCGACAACACTCTGAGGCTATGGGATGGCCACTCGCATGCTGCAGTGGGTTGCCCTCTCGGACACTTCCTCTTACCCCCATCCGTCATGTGGATTATCTTTCACGCTATCTCTCTCCATGGCTTGGCAAGGCTTTCGGCACTTGTTGAGGGGGCACCATCCCGCACTCCCTTCCTCCCTCCCTCCCTCTTCATTTCTCTTCCGCTTAGTTTCCCTTCCCCTCCCGTGCACTCCCTCCCTCCCTCTCCATTTTTCAGATCCGCACGCTGAGGGGCCACACCAATGAGAAGAACGTGTTTGGTTGACTTTGTCAGTGCTTTAACTGCTTCGTTCCAACTTCCGCCTTTCCTGATTCTCCTTTCTCCCGGGCACCTGTTCAGATCCGCACGCTGAGGGGCCACACCAATGAGAAGAACTTTGTGGGCTTGTCTGTCAACAGTGACTACATCGCATGCGGCTCCGAAACGAATGAAGTGTACATCTACTATAAGGTAATCATGAGAAACATATTTTGCCATGTCATGTCATCGTTTTTTGACTCGATGGGTAACAGTCATGAACTCTGTCTGTTATTCGATTGCCATTCACTAAGTGCTTAGTCTCGGCTGCCGTTCTCCCAACCCTTACTCCTCAACCCTTCGTGTTGTTCCTCTCTTATCCCTGTCGCAGGCCATGTCTAAGCCCATGGCAGTACACCGATTCACCAACTCTGACCCTTTTAACGGGGAAGACAGTGACGAGGATACAGCTCACTTCATCTCTGCAGTGTGCTGGAAGGGCGGAGGGGGGGAGGCAGGTGGAGCAGGGGCAGGTGGGGAAGGGGGTAGTGGGCAGCAGCAGGAGGCAACAATGCTAGCAGCAAACAGCCAAGGGACTATCAAGGTGCTCTCTCTGGCGCCATAAAAAGGCGGGAATTTTTCAAGAAGGGCTGGGAGTATCTGGTGCGATACTACACAGCACATAACATCTCTGCTGTGTGCTGGAAGGGCGGAGAGGTAGGCAGAGCAAGAGGCAACGATGCTAGCAGCTAACAGTCAAGGGACCATCAAGGTGCTCTCTCTTGCACCTTAGAGCGTATTCCTATCCTCGTATCAAGAGAACCTCATACCGTATTCTCCCGGATAAAACACCCTAGGGTATTATGAAAACCACTGGGAAAGAATGGGGGGGGGGGGTCTCCTCAAAGGAAAATCTTGCATAATACCCGGGTCTTATTATATGGTATATTTTTTATCAAATAGAAAAGATGTGAAACAAAATCAGGTGTCTGACATCATTTCAAGATTGTTGACCAGTGCCGCAAAACTGAGTATATGAGGATAACGTGACCGCCCACTAGACTTTGCCACGTGGCATATTCGAGTGGGCAATTTTGGCACTTGATAGGGTGAAAACAAAGCCAATTGCGTGGTGAGGGTTCATGCAACCGCCGGCCAGAATCGCGCACGGTGGCGCGCTCTTACTGTACCAGAGTCACTTCTTGACTGGTTTGGTCACGTGTAAGTGAGGTGGGTTGGGTGGGGTATGAAAATGATGTGGCACGATCTAGGCTGTTCAATTTCTGGTCTGTAATCAGCAGAGAGATCCGCATTGGCGCGCCGAAGCCTTGCTCCAGCATTCCACGAATGTGGGAGTGGGATGGGGACCTTTGGATACCATTTGCTCAAAAGTTTACCCTAAACCGTTCTGTAACGTAACGAAACCCCTGATTCCCGATTTCGTGTCGGTACGTTGCCAGCACATGGGGCCACTTGCAGCGGAAGATTCGCCAACGTGGCGACAGCGAGATTGTGGGAAGGGGGAAATCTTGGTAGATTTTAAGTGAAAGTACACGCGAAATTTCACCTAGGGAGCAATTCTCGCGATATCCTCCCGTAAGGAATTAGACTCGATAACATCTAAAATAGGAATCTATAAGAAAAGGGGGGTGTTATAGAAAATCACCCCAAAAGGGGGGGGTATAGTACAAACGGGGTCGGATATAACACCCACCCCGTATTAGCTATCCGGGGGTGTACAATTACGGGGGGGTGTTTTATCCGGGAGAATACGGTATCAACTTCCCACTGAAAATTCCCCTAAACCCGAAACCTCTCGCTAGTTTTACCAGGCAAGAAGTACAATCTTGATATGAGGTTCTCTTGATACGAGGATAGGAATACGCTCTTAGGAGTTATGAGGCGCCTCAAACGGGAACAACAGCAGGAGGCAACAATGCATTACCAGACAGGCTAGGGACAATCAAGGTGCTGTCTCTGGCGCCATATAAGAGGCGGGACGTTCATTGAGTGGCTGAAGTAGGTATCTAGTGCGATACTGTACTGTTGCAGCGTGCATGTACCGTAAGCTATAATTGGTTGCTAGCTATTATAGAGTCAAGGGATTTCCATTTAGTGCAATATTGCACGAATCCGATACATGTTCTGACTTCTCTGGGAAATGTTGATAACGCTGTAACTGAGAGAAGTTGAACGAGAATGGATTGATTAAGGGAAAGTTGGGTACAAATACAAACCCTAGAAAGCTGTACCCCATATGTGCTACCCCACTATAGCCTACAATAGCTATGTCATATATATCTGACACACCCCCATAGGCAAAGTGGGGGAGAACAAGGGGTCACAAGACCAGTCAAGCAAAGCAAGCTCAGCGTGGATCACAAAGTCACCACACAGTCCGAGCACAAGGTCAAGGCCACAAGGCCAGTTCACATGCAGGAGCGCACACATATATATATAACACTAAACAAGCAAGAGCAGGTATATATATATGCAAGAGTACAAGTAAGATCAAGAGGTGAGCAAGTGAGGTAAGACAGGTACAAGTCCCAGCTGAGTGCAGAAGCGCTGATGATCACAAGGCGGAAGTGCCTTGGTGAAAACATCAGCAGTGTTGGCCTCAGAGGCCACGTACGCAAGTCGCAACTGACAACGCTGCTGCAGCTCACGAGCAAGAAAGTAGCGGAGAGCAATGTGCTTCGTTCTGTGCTCCAGGTGCTGCTCTCGACACAAGGCCAGCATGGCCTTGTTGTCTACGTACAACACTCGAGGAGAACGAGGCGGCTCTCCAAGGTCAGTAAGCAGGTCGGTGAGCCAGCCAAGCTCCTGAGCAACCATGGCCCCGGCGTAGATCTCAGCCTCACAACTGGAGCCGAGAACAGAAGACGAGCGAGTAGCCCGCCACGAAACAGAGCCGGAACCAAGACTGAAGGTGTAACCCTGTGACGACCGCTGAGTAGCCTGGTCGTCAGCCCAAGAAGCGTCCGCGTGCCCAGTGAGGACCACTGGACTCCGCCCTCCAAGCACTAGCCCCATGCCCGACGTACTGCACAAGTAGCGCAACACCCTCTTCGCTGCAGCCATGTGCTCTGGTCGGTGTCTCCCAGGAGCAACATAGCGTGCAAGAATGCTAAGAGGGTATGCAAGGTCAGGTCGTGTGCAGGTCATCAGGTACATGAGGCAGCCAACAAGCTCTGGGTACGGGCCACTCGACTCTACGGACTCATCCGAAGGCAGAGCTGAGAGCGAGTGGCGAGTAGACAGAGGAGTGGACTGAGGCGAGGATGCAGCAGCACCCGAAGAGTGGTCATCTTCGGGGTGGGAGAGAAGGTCTGAAAGTAGTCAACTCCCTACCGCTGACTGAAGCCACGAGCCATGTACCGCGCCTTGAAGACAGGTGGAGAGCCCGGCGGCCGCTTCACCCTGAAGATCCACATGCCACTGACGATGTTCGCCCCAGGAGGGGGAACCGCGTCAACGTAGGTGCCTGTGGACTTCCAGGAAGCCATCTCTGCATCCATAGCTGCCTGCCACTGAGAGGAGTAGGGACCCTCTACGGCCTCCGCGTAAGAGCGCGGAGTCGGGATGTCTAGTGCATCCGGGTCTCCCTCAGGGGCAAGTAGTACGGACGCGAGATGAGGTGAAGCAGCAGCCAGACACAGGAACTCCTCCTGCCTGTCCTCAAGGACGTCCGTGCCAAGAGCACACTCACCCCCGACGGACGGAGGACAGACAAACGCAGACTTAGCAACAAGACTGGCAGCGTAGTCTAGACGACAGCGAGCTGCAAAGTCGACGAGCTCAGCAACAAGCGCAGACGCAGCAGTGGACTCAAAAGAGGGGTCAGTGACGACAGTAGCAAGGAGACGCGTGACAGTAGGACTGGCAGTACGGAGAGAGTCTGACTCTGAGTCGGCAAGTGCAGGAAGAGAGGACTCAGGAGGAGAAGGCAAAGGGGCACGCAGAGGAGCAGTGGACGGACGCAGAGACATCCGGTGGGTGCCAGGGACAGGAGGAGGACGCTGACGTGAACCGCGACCACTAGCGCGAGCCTCACGAACTGGCGACGCGGGACGAGACGCAGGCTTACGACGCTCAGCAAGACCTTCAGTAGGACCAGTGTAAGGAGAGGGAGCAGGAAGTGGGGAGGCGGGCTCTAACTGTGACTGTGACTGGACAGGCGGTGGACACTCTACAGGAGGAGAAAGACCAACAACCTGCTGCAGGAGCGGAACGAAGTACGGCCGAGGCCGCGCGGGAACTCCAGACACAGCAGGGACAGCACCAGCACCCTCAGCGGCAGCACCAGCGCCAACAACACCTCCAGCTGCAGGACCTCCAGCAGCACCCGCAGCAGGACCACCGCCAGAAAGGACAGCAGCAGTCTCAGCACCAACACCCTCAGTAGCTCCAGCGCCAGGCGGACCCGAAGGCCCAGGAGCCCCGGGACCGGCGGCACAAGTACCCTCAGCGGCCGAAGAAGCTCCAGCTCCAGCAGTACGCCTCCAGCGGCGAGCAAACCACTCGCGCAGCTCCTGTGGAGAGAGTGGCTCCCGCCGAGACGAAGCACCCGGAGAGCCTGCAGGCCCCGCACCGCCAGACGCCAGAAGGGGAGGTCCAGTGGCCGCAGGCTCCGCAACTCCAGGCTCAGCAGCACCCCCTGGCTCAGCAGCTCCTGACGTAGCACCCCCAGGCTCAGCACCCCCAGTCGCAGCACCCCCAGGCTCAGCACCCCCAGACTCAGCACTCCCAGGCTCAGCACCCCCAGGCTCAGCACCCCCCGTCGCAGTACCCCCAGGCTCAGCACCCCCAGGCTCAGCGCCCACGCGCGCAGCACCTCCAGAGTCAGCACCCCCAGGCTCAGCACCCGCAGCAGTACCAGAGTCACCAGCAACCTTGACCGGCTCGACTGCGTCTACCTGGGACACACCTGAAGGGGCAGGACCCTGAGGGGGAAGGAGGTCTACCTGGGGGGGACCTGGCACAAGGAAGTGCGGTGGTGGGGGGAGGGAAGGAGTGCGGTAAGGGAAGAGGCGGTAGAAGGGGACTGACTCGTCGAACGTGATGTCCTGGGAGGACAGAACACGACGAGAGGAGGGGTGGTAGAACTGCCACCCTGGGGCGTCAGGGGGGAAGCCTAGGAAGACACAGGGAGCAGCACGAGGGGACAGCTTGTCCGCAGACAAGTCGCGGACAAACGCCCGAGATCCCCAGACACGGAACGCAGACGCATCGCCCACCTTCCCCGTCCATAGCAGAGCTGGGGAGGTCTCCGGCCGGGAGACCGTGGGGTGAAGATTGATCTGATGCGCCGCGTACCGAACCGCAAACGGCCACAGAAAATGGGGGGCAGCCGCATGCATCATGGACGTACGAGCGACGTCCATGACCATGCCAATGCGGCGCTCAGCAATCCCATTTTGCTGTGGAGAGTCCGGAAGCGTAAAGGTCTGGCGGATGCCTCGTGCACGACAGTAGGCTCGCAGAAGGCCAGAGGAGAACTCTCCACCTCGGTCAGAGTGCAGACGCAGGACAGAAAAGTCCGAGCCGAAGCTCCTCCTGAGCTGGAGACGAGCTGCGCGGATCCAGTCGATCAACACCTCAGTGACATCACCCTTGCTGCGC